TAATTCATAGATGAATAGATTAGGTACAGGCTGTGCATGTTTGTTGTCCTAGATGAGATAATTTGTGGTTGTTATTAGGTAGTAAAGAATTCATCTGCCAGTGCAGGAGATGCAAGAGATTTGGGTTTCATCTCCGAGTTTGGGAAGATCCCCTTGGGTAGGAAATGGCAACCCACTCCAGTATTCTTGCCTGGAAAACTCTGTGGACAGAGGAGCCTAGTGGGTTACAGTCCATGGGGTCGCAGAGTCAGACACAACTGAGCGACTAAGCACGCACAAGGTTGTTATCAAATATTTCTTTCTTACACTTTCTTTGCCTTGTTCTCAGAGGACCTTTGCCTCAGAGCCAAGCTTTTTTTTTTTTTTTTTTTTTTAAATAATAATGCAAGGAAGCAAGGTCTTTGAATAAAAATTTTTGTGATATTTGCTCTACCTCTCTACAGTATACTAGGATTCAAAATATCTCAACATGGTCTAACAGTGGTTTTGAATACCTGACGTGGCACCTAACACCCATAAGTATAAGACAGAGAAAGATGAAAATTACCTCTGGTTTGTATAATAGTTCCTTTCTCTCTTTGGTACACGTGGAGATTTTTTTTTTAATCCCTGGGGTAGTGTATCATGATTTGGGATGGGTGAGAGATACGCCTTTTTTTTGTAAACTGGGAGAAGGATGAGTGGAAAAGGGGTGCCGGAAAAGGTTGAACCAGCGTCAGCATTTACAGCAGGCATGCTCTTAGGCTGCACAAATGTAATGAAAGTGTGCGTATGGAAATTGATGATTAGGGGATGAGTCTCTTAAACTATCACTGCCAAGGTACCTGTTAGGACATCTTTATATATCCCTGTGAGTTCGCACAGCCTTCGAGGACACCTATACTGCTGAGTGAAGCAATCCATATGTATGACAACAGGGAGTGGTGGTGACTGTAGAATAAAATGCTGTACAGTGCTTGTTTTACCAGTATTGAATAAAATCATATTGACCCATTTCTTGATTCTGCAAATAAAATTAGTAGGCTTACATTTCTTTTTAATTAACTTACTTTATTTTTGGCTGCACTGGGTCTTCGTTGCTTTGCAAGGGCTTTCTCTAGTTGTGGTGAGTAGGGGCTACTCTTCCATATGATGCGAGAGCTTCTCATTGTGGTGGCTTTTCTTGTTGCAGCGCACAGGCTCTAGGTGCACAGGTTTCAGATGCTGCAGCCCGTGAGCTCATTAGTTGCGGCTCCTGGACTCTAGAGCACAAGCTCAATAATCTAATCGTGGCACTGGGGTTTAGTTGCTCCACGGCATGTCGAATCCACGACCAGGGATCGAACCCATGTCCCCTGCATTGGCAGGAGGATTCTTATCCACTGCTCCACCGGGGAAGTCCCCAGGCTTGCATTTTGTATCTAATGTTAACTAGTGAAATTCTAAACCCTGACTTTAAAATGCAAGCCTGTGTAACTCATAAAAGTATAATCAGAAAAAAAATGAAAATATTCTCTTGCTTACAGCTAAAGGGAGAGACAACATTTTGCATCATAAGACAGCTCAAAAAATTCAATTTGAGAAGGTGTTAAACCAAGAACATTCACAGGAATATCAAGCTTATTCTCCTGTCCAAAATGGAGGTGTGGTGCAATTATTTTTAATGTTTTGTTCTCTTTTACAAGAAGTGTGTCCCTAAACATGTTATTCGAATGTCTTATGAGATGCCAGAGGCTTTACAATTGTTGTAGCAACTTACAAATTGCTCAGGTTGGACTTTCTGGAAGCAGAGGCTGAGACAGTGTTTGGGGTACAAGATAATTATTAGGGATGAACCCTTATGAAAGGAAGAATGAGGACATAGGATTGGGCAGAAGAAGAAATCAGATTGCAAGGTAGGCTTTGATGGACCCTCCAAGGAGCTCTGGAACAAGTGCTGCTCCTAATAAGTTATTTGAAAAAGGCCAGGTGCAGTGGTGTATATATTATGCTAACATTTGTTTACAAAGGGAGATAGAGGAAAGGATGCCTTCTTTCATTTGCCTATGAAAGCATAAAAATCTCTGAGATGACAGAAAGCAACCAATAGTAATTATCTTTGGAAAGGACATTAGAAGGTGCTATGGACTGAGTGTTCATGTTTCTTCCCAAATTCATATGCTGAAATCTAATTCCCAACCTGATGGATGGTATGAGGAGGTGGGGCTGTGGGTGAGGGGTGATTGAGTCACGATAGTGGAGTCCTCATGGATGGTTATTAGTGCCCTTATGAAAGAGACCCCAGACAGCTCCCTCACCCCTCTGCATATGAGGACACAGAAAGAAGATAGTCATCTGTAGATCAGGATTTGGGATCTTACCAGACACCAAATCTGTAAGCACCTTGATCTTGGATTTCCCAGCCTCCTGATCTATGAGAAATAAATTCTGCTGTCTACAAGCGACCCAGTCTATGGTATTCTTTTATAATAGCATAAACAGACTAAGACAAAGGGCTCAGAGTCTGAGATGGAAGGAGATTTTTGTACATCTTGGATTTGTCTATATATTCAACAACAAAAAAAATTATTACAAATAGATAATGTGATACTAAATGTTCAATAAATAGCTTAGCTATTATGAAAAAAAGCATTGGGTTAAAAACATGTAAGACTTTGATTTGTACTGATGATATTAAGTTCTGAAAGATTTAAGTAAAATTACTAGAATTTTTGTTCTAATAGGTGGTAAAAGACCACTTAGGTTTGTTTACAAAGATACATCTGATTATAAATCTTGAACATTAAGTTATTATTAGTTGACAAGATGGTGGCCAAATGAATTTGTTGCACATGATCTGGAGCCTAAACTTGGTTTTCAATGCACTTTCTGAAGGGGATTGGTAAAACATACTCCCCATAGCCTCCAGTAAGTAAAAGCTGACAGCTTTTACTAAAGCACTTCTGGATGTCCCTGGATGCTAATTTCACACAGCAGAGGAGCCTTTAAGAATCAGAGGCATTTTGGAGAACTGCCTGCGGGAAACATCTAGAGTGTACAGAGGGGCATGAGACTGGCATGGTGGCATGCAAACCACAGGAAACAGAATGGCTCCTTCCCAGTGATCATGCATGCTCCAGAGGCTGGAGTCAGCAACCACCTCTTGACTTTTTTCAGCTGTGCCTCTCCCTGCAAACTGAAAACTGGTGTGAAGATTCAAGTTGATCAGTGTATTTGTCTTTGTGTCTGAAACAAATTGGATTTAGTCATTCAAAAAATGATACCATGAGGTCAAATTTCCCTGTGAGTGCCTGTTGATTTGTCTCTAGAGCAGACCTAGAGAATCTTTCACTTTCCTTCCCATGGTTGCCTGGTCCCCACATACAGAGGCTTTAACCAAAGGTGGAGGATGGTGAACAAAGCAGGGATCTGGGTCCTTTGGACCTCTCTCTCCAGTAGGATCCAGTGATTTCTGTGGGTTTCCACACTGGATGGAATAAAAATAAAGAGAGATAGGGCAAATGCTAGGGAGACAGCACTCAACCCCTGTAGGGAAACTGTAGGGCTGTTCACCCACCTGGAGAAAGGGGGAGGTGGTGTCAGACCTTGACCAGACCCAGCACCAAGGCTTGGGGACCAGGCAGGTGTGTCTCCATTTGAGGATCCCAAGAGCCTATATCTGGTTCAGCTATACACTAGAAATGAGGGTACATGGAGGTACAGATTGTTCAATCAAGAAAATAACTGAATCAGATCCATTTTTAAAGTATACTAAAGTACATATGAGGAAATACTGTGGCAAAGACACAAACATGGAAGACTCTTGATAGAAAGCACAGAAGAAAAGCACGGGGAAGAAGGAAGCTCTTCCGGGTGTGTTAAAGGTGATTTTCTTCATTACAGTTTCCTCCAGGTCTGTATCCATGTCTGCTCCCAACTTTCCATCCCCAGGGAGCCCTATTCCTGAAATTCCCTCCACCTAGTAAGGGTAGAATATCTGTCTCCTCTGAGTGCGACTGTCACTTCCTGCTTCAATTCCCAATTCCTCAGGCTGGCGTCTTCTACAGACAGTCTCTCCAGAGAGGGCCTTTGGGCCTCTTTCCTATGGAACTAATTCCTGCAATTCTAATTTCTGTTTCCATGGTCCCTAAGACCAAATATGGGCAATCAATAAGGCTCCTATGATGATCTATGACCATTTCTTTTAATACAACTGTTGGAGTTATATTTCTTTTGAGATGACAGTTACTGTACTTTTTTTCTTAAGATGAAGGGGAGAAGGACATTCTCACTGGCCAAAGACTAAGGAAGCAGGGGGCTATGGTGCTCTTCCATCTGCTTGAAGTCACAAGTCTCTGATCTCAGAGAGGTTGTGAGAAAACCTCAAAGGAAAGGGCAAAAGTGATACACCCATTTTTCATCATGAGTTACTTCCTTGTATCTCTTTGAGGTGTTTGCAATACAGAAAAGTCATAAGGGACCACCCAGACCACCAAGAAGTATGAGCTCTCATTCTCAGTCACCTAGATTCATTTGTGGGTTATAGTTCTTCCTTTTTTTGTTTATACTATTCCCTCTTGTCTCCCTCATATCCTCCCCCTCTCTTTCTCTATCTTAATGTCTTACATATACACACACTTACTTTTCCACCCTGTCTCTGTAAATAAATTCTTGCTCATAAATAATTTTATAACAATAATTTATTATTTTAATAGGATAATCAGGTTAGACTTGACTTCCAAGTTTAAAAAAACTTCTTTAGAGTAAGTCTCACTTCAAATCACCCTTGTTACTAAGTTTTCAAGTTTATTTCCATTGAAGTCAACCTCATTTATTTGCTTTATTTAAGAGTTAGGTGCCATGGGAGTCACAGTTCTCATGTCTGTCAATGTTTGGATGTTTGTGCCCCGTGCTTACACAGAGAAGAAGGGAAGGGGTTTGGGCACCCACGGCATGACTGCCACAGTCCACCCTCTCAGGGCTTCTCCTGGTGTTTCCTTTCTTGCAGTTGTTATTCTTGTTTCTGATGTTTCTGCTTTCTTTTAATTATCTATATTTTTGAAGGTAGGAGGTACCTTCTTCCCATGACCAGAGTCCAGAGAGTCCAAATAGATTTCTAAATTCCACATTTTCTTTCTTTGTAGTTCCTTATGTATTACAATACATAAAACACTGTCCACCAAAAACATTATCCCCACTGCCAGATAGAAAAGAAAATGAAACCAGACAGGGCTTGTTGACTGGAGGCCTATAAAAGAAAATGACAGAGGACAAATACTATTTAGAAACCAGAGGGGTCTGGCTGAATTATGTTTGGAAGAGAAGGTTGGCTGAGACCTGCTATGTCTGTGCCTGAGGGAGACACTGGGGGTTTGGGAGGCAGAAAGCAGCTGATGGTAGCTGGAGCTGGGCTCTATGGTCATCAGGGGGCATGCTCCTTGTAAGAGCCTAACTTCCAGGGCCTTGCCAGTGCACTTACTTCCTAGGTTCAGCAACAACTGCTATCTGTGCCATTTAAAGATTAGAATTTAGTTTGAAGATAAACATTTTTCCCCAAATAGTCTTTGTTCTGGAGCTCATAGTCCCTCTACCTCAGCCATACGTAGACACTTGGGCGGGTAGGTATTCATGTGCAATCCACAAAACCCCCGTCTCACCAATCTACCATGTGAGCTCTCTGAAGTAAAAACTGTACCCCAGTGTCTTTATATTCTTATATAAAGGATATATATATATATATATATATATATATAATAGATAGGAAGAATTCAGTATATTTTTTATTAGATTATTGGTGAAAGAGGGAGGGAAGAAAGGAGGAAGAGAGACAGAAGAGGGATAGAGAGAAGGCAGGAGAAAATACAGAGAAAGGAAAAGAAGGGAGGAAATAAATGAAGGAAAGAGAAGAAAGAGAAAGGAAAGGAAATTTAAGGAAGTTTATGAGGAGAACAGTGAAGTTTTGAATCAAGAGTGCAAAGACCTGTTCATGGTTTTTTCCTGGGCGGGCTGTGAAAAAGGTGTCATGAAACCTCAGTCCCAGAGGAGGGAACGGTGTGTCTCCTTATGTACCTGTCAGTTCCCCTCGTTCCTACTCACCAAGCACTGGAAGCTCAAGCTCAGGGCTGCGCTTGCTAAGATTCCCATCTTCTGTGGCAGCTTCACACCAGTATAGCCCAGGGTCTTCTTTTTTAGCAATGAATGTCTGGTATTCAGAGGATGTGGTCCTGCTCATTAGGGTCTTGTTTCCCACATAGAAGGAGAAGTAAAGCTGCAGACCAGGCTTCTGTGAGGGCAGCTTTGTTTCACAGCTCAGGTTGACCAGATACCCCTCTTGGTGAGGGGATGAGAAAGATGTTCTCAGCACTGGGGCTGGAAATAGCTCTGAAGAAAAAGTTGATAGGGATAGGGTGGCCTGCATCAGTGTCAAGGTTCTTTTTTTTTGTTTTTTAACAGAAGATATACTCCCACCCCTTTTGGGAAACCTGCCCCTAAAGAATACATCTATAAGACAGTTTCCCCACTTCCAGCAGAGAGGTATTCTTAGGAGTTCCTCATAGACATATTTGCAGTTACCAGCTTGACCATATTCTTCTGGAGAGAATACCTCTACATAGTTTATGCTTCACTAAATAGCCATGTCATTTATTGTATGACCCTCTGGTAATGTTTAACTGGGAGTGGACACTGACACCCCATCCTCCAGGAGTTCAGTGACTCACTACTTGTGTTTCTGGCTTAAAAGATAATCTGGCGGGGAATTCTCTGGAGATCCAGTGGTTAGGACTCAGTGCTTCCATTGCAGTGGGGGCAGGGTTTGATCCTGGTCAGGGAAGTAAGATCCCTTAATTTGTGTGATGCAGTCAAAAAGAGAGAAAGAGATAATCTGGGACAATAATTTTTTTTCCATAGGAATGAACTATTTTTCAGACACACAGAAGTTGCTAGTGGTTATGAGTACTAAGATAAAGGCCATGAAAGAGTTATATCAAGAGCCACATGCAAACTGGGACAGAGGGAACTACTTAATTAGCAGATGTTCAGAGGGAAGTGGAACCAGAGAGGCCACGTGGTCCCTGGGAGATAGATGGAAAGTATAACCACATCCTAATGTCTTCCTCACTATGGAATTTTTATGGTTTCATTGAGTTATTTTCTAATAATCTTCCTACCTATCTTGAGTGCATCTCTGTTCCTTGCAACTAAAATAAAATGGGTGAAGCAGATTCTCACTATGGCATGGCCTTGACGTTAGCTCCTGGAATTAGTGATGGGGCACTGTGGTATATTAGAAAGAGCAATGGACAGGGACCCAGAAGACCTCAGTTCTGCTCCCAGCCCAGCCACTGGTCATTGTGTGGCCTTCATAAGGCAGTTTACCTCTCTGGAGTTCAGTTTCTTCACTTGCAAATTGAAGTGATAATTTATGATGGTTCTTCTGGTTCTTATAACTAATAGCTCTATGACTATTTAGATATAGTACCTTTTATAGTGATCGATACTCCTGCTGATGTGTAGAGACGCCTTCTCTCGCCTGAGCAGTGATAGATGCCATTGTGACTCAGGTTGGTTTTCGGAATGGTGAATTCAGAATCCTGATGAGAAAACCTAAAGGGCTTGCCATCTTTGTAGAAAAGCATTTTGTACACCGGCATATTCTTCCATCCATGACACCTCAAGACCAGAGGATCCCCTTCTGTGAAGACTCTGCTAGAGACCTGGAGTAGTAGCCAATCTGGAAAATGTGGGCACAAAATGTGTGTATATGGTGGCAGAGGTACAAGAAAGCCAAAGCTGGACCCTGTGGGTTTATCTTTTTTCACTTTGTAACATTCCAACTTTAGAACTCTGTTGAATTTAAGGTCTGTCTCCTGTTCCTCAAATATCTTTAGCTTTTCTAGGAAGAAAAGTAATCTTTACGGACAGCCCCTTCTTACTTTTTCTTTCCAGATCTCAGAAGTTGGTTGGCACAAAAACAGCTTACTCTAAGTGGTAGGCAGCATTTTAAAATGCCCCCAATGAGTCACACTCTTGCATGTGGCTGGAACCTATGACTTACTTCCAGCCAACAGAATATGGTAAAGGTTCTAAATTGCCACTCCTATGATGATGTTACATTATATGAGGTTGTCTTAGCTGACTGGACTACAGGAAACTCCTGCCAACCTTGAAGAAGTGAGCTGACATGTTGCGAGAGGGCCTGAGGGCCACAAAGAAGGGGTTCTTCAGGAAATGAGACTGGCCTCCAGCTGACAGCCAGTAAAGTGGCGGGGACCTCATCCTACAAACCACAAGGAGCTGAACCCTGCCAATGATCATGGGAGGTTAGAAGAGCTGCTGGGAGGAACATAGCCCAGTCAACTCCCTGACTGCAGCCTCAGCAGAGCACCAACCAAGCTGTGCCAAGACTCCTGACCCATGGAAAGATAATAACTGTATGTTGTTTTAGGCTGCTAAATTTACGGCAATTTGTTACACAGCAATAAAGAACTAATACATTCTGACTGCTGACTAATTTGTTAATGTGTATCACACATACTAAGACACACACAGAATGGCAAGCATATCTAAGTGTGTGTGTATATATACATATATATATGCTTCTAAGTTGATGGGAATACTCACACATGTGCAAATCAGTGACATAGCTGGTAAAAACAAACTCCAAATCAAATGGGCCCTCCCCTTTGATGTACATCTCCATACATACCCCAAAAGGCCTACTTTATTTTATCCTCTTGGGGCAGTTGGCTTGGCTAAATGAGGATGAGGTTCTTAAAGGACGAAAGAGGGGAAGAGATAATAGTACTTTTCTTCCCTCCAGAACTTATCTGAGAATGGAAGGCAGGTATTTTGTGCAATATGGTGTATGGTTTTTGCAGTCCAGGATGCTGCCGTAGTGTTTCTAATAGAATGAACATTCTTTCTTCCCTTATTTTCATTCCCAGCTAAAAGGTGCTCAAAGACTGCACTGCCCAAACACACGGAAACCTTTGCTTTCTGCATCCACACACACAATGGGAAATTTTAACATGCTTCCATCAGAAACTGCCAGAACTACTAATAAAAATATAAATACTTGAATGATACAATTAATAGACTTGATTTCAGGATTTATAGAATGATGTATCTTAAAAAAAGAAAATTCACATCCTGTGCAAAGACACACGCAACAGTGATTAAAAAATGAGCACATACTAGGCCACAAAGCAATTTTCAACACACATCAAGGAACTGATACCAGATTTAACACAAATTTTGGCCAAAATGCTACCTAATATATCCAGAATATACAAAGAATCACATGAATCAGACATAACTTAGCAACTAAAACAGCAGTAAAAGACATGTATAAAAATGTTGGACTGAGCAACTGAGCACATACACAGTATTAGAAGTCAGTGTTGAGGGTAGTGACAAGAAATTGGCAAGAGGGAATTTCTGTGATTCTGGAAATGTTCAGGCTATGATCAATAGGGTCACAAAGAGTTGGACATGACTGAAGCAAGGAGATCCAACCAGTCCATCCTAAAGGAGATCAGTCCTGGGTGTTCATTGGAAGAACTGATGATGAAGCTGAAACTCCAGTACTTTGGCCACCTCATGCGAAGAGCTGACTCATTGGAAAAGACCCTGATGCTGGTAGGGACTGGGGGCAGGAGGAGAAGGGGACAACAGAGGATGAGATGGCTGGATGGCATCACTGACTCGATGGACATGAGTTTGAGTAAACTCCGGGAGTTGGTGATGGACAGGGAGGCCTGGCGTGCTGTGATTCATGGGGTTGCAAAGAGTCGGACACGACTGAGCGACTGCACTGAACTGAACTGAAGCGACTTAGCTTGCAAGCACACATGATATACTTCAATAAAAGTTTTACATTAAAATATAATGTATATAATATATATAAAGTCACTCAGTCGTGTCTGACTCTTTGTGACCCCATGAACTATACAGTCCATGGTATTCTCCAGGCTAGAATACTGAAGTGGGTAGCCTTTCCCTTCTACAAGGGATCTTCCCAACCCAGGGATGGAACCCAGGTCTCCCACATTGCGGTCGGATTCTTTACCAAGTGAGATATCAGGGAAGCCCAAAATATAATGTAAAAAATATATAGTATACTGTAACAAATAACATAAAAGATATTTTTTCTCAATAGGTCATCAGTGCTTGAAGTTCAAGAGTCTGTGCAGAAGCAAAGAAAATGTCCCCTTCCCAGCCCTAGCTCATCTTTTGTTATTTGAACTATGAAATGTTTCTGCTTCTGCTTGAATTATACAAAAGCTCACGTTAAAACAGTTCTGTCAGCGTCCCTGACCGCTCTCGCATAGGAACTGAGTAGAGTCTTAGGAGACACATAAGGAACACCTAGCATTTGCTCTGACATTCTCAACATTTCCTTGGCTTAATTCTCAAAGTCTCACAGTAATTTCATGTCCAGAATATTATATTACCAATATACTGTGAAATGTGCTCCAGACTATGTGTATAGAGATGTTTACTGCAGACATTGATTGTAAAGGCAAAGGAATGGAAACACAGTAGAAGTTTACTAATATAATGATTTAGTTAATTATAAAAGTTGGAAGTAGATTTCTATTGATATAAACAGACTGCCAAAGTATTTTAAGTGATAAAAGTAAGGTGTAAGATAGTATATGGAGTATTCTATCAACCACTTTTAAAAACAAATGTATATATACTAACAGTTTCATTTTTGTGGAAGGTAACTGTAGGATTTGGGGTTTGGGTGGGAAGGAAATGTGATTGTTCATTTCCCTGAATTATTATTTACTATGTGTGCAGGTATAACTTTTTTCAACAGAAGTAAATAATTTTGAAAAATAAAATCTTAGTAGGGTATCTAGATTAAAACTTAGACCCTAAGAGCTGCCCTAGTTGAGGTGTTGTTGGGGTACAATTTAAGAACCCTAATGTTATATTTTGAGTATCTTGACTTTTACCTGGTAGACACATAGAGCTGAGACACATACTCAGATAAACTGGTGTACACACACACACACACACACACACACACACACACACGGCATCCAGGAAGGAGAAAACACAGTTGAAGACCTTGTGATTTCTAGCCCTCCTGTTCCATGCCATACTTACCACTGTGGATTTCTAGCTGCACAGTGTCACTTGGCACTGAGAGACCTGTCTGGCACTTGTATTCACCACTGTCATTGAATGTAGCTCCATTAATACTGTATCTGGGGGTCAGGGTCTTAATGGCTGTGCCGTTGAGAAACCACTGTGTGGAGGTGTCCCCAGGCAGATGGGGTCCCTCACACAGTAAGGTTACATTTTCTTCTCGGAATACACTGACCCATGGAGGCTTCAAGGTGATCACTGCCTTTGTGGGGTCTGCTTGGGGATTAAAAGAAAAGAAGAAGAAGATCAAGTGGAATAAAAGGGAAGTCTGAGCAACTGGCAAGATGTGGCTAGCACAATGGAAAAAAAATATCCAGTATCAATACTCAGATTGAAAAATAAGCAAGTAGAAAACTATAAAAGCTAACCATGAAGAGTATCCAGATCCTGCAGCAGAGAGTTCTATTCATATTATTAAATCTGCATCTGGCTATTGGAGATCTGGGGTTCCTGAGAAATAATTGACTAATTTAGGTCTCGTTGGTAAGCATGAAGCATGGTTTTAAACTAGGGCAAACTGACTGGAGCTGATTTTCCTATCTTCTGTAGTGTTCTATCACTGAAGGTTAACCTCAGGCTTTAATTAACATCTGTGTTGGGAATCTAGGTTCAAACTCTACACTTTGAAACCTTCAGTACCTGTTCGGTTCTCTCTGAGGAGAAGAAAAAATAGTTTTTGTCTAAAGGGGAATGGTGTGGGGGGTATTGGAAAACACAGCAGAGCTACATCTATGCTTTTGCAATTTTGGTCCTTTCTTGTTATTATATACATTTTTTTTAGGCATTTAATCAAGAGATCAGGGTGCATTCAGAAAATTTTACAGAGCAACCTTAAAAACCAGGATTTAGTCACAATCATACTCTGAATATAGGGAATTTTACATCGTTTATAAATCTTTCTCCTTTCTGTCCTCTCCCTCTGCTCTCTTCTTTAGAACAGGGGGACCCATTCTGTGACAGGAAAGGACGTTGAGTTACTCACCCACTTGCTCAGCAACTGGAGCTGTAAGAGACAAAGAGCAGAGACATCAGTTGATCAGTGGGAGATGGCAAGGAAGGGGGAATTGAGGAGACAGAATTAACTTGGACTCTGAGGGACCAATTTAGGTCTCTTGAGTTTCTCTTTACCCACTTTTCCAAAATCGGGTACTGGTGATAATGAACAGCCTACAGATGGTTATTGGTGCAGCTTTATTTTGACACTCTGCTTCCAGGCTTATTGTTACCTCAGAGTTTCCCTCCCCAGTTTTTTTATACAATAGACACAAGTAAACCATGGAAGCACAGAAACAGTTGTCTCCATACTCATGAGTTCTAGCCTAGGATACCAAAGGAAGACAAAAAGTCCTGAGTCCCCACAGCCAGAGCCTTCTAGTTACCCCCTTTAAACCCAACTTACCCCCAAGGATCAGAGCTATCATGAGCCACATCTCCAGTCTGACAGGAGCAGTGAAATCTGTAACACACAAGACATTGAAGAGTTTCTGTTTGGGGTTCTGGAGTCAAGATTAGAAAACAGGAAGGAAACTGCTTTTCATCATGTTCCTTTTCTGGGAAGTGCATCCCTAATTCTTGAAGCATGATCTCATTTTCATACTTCTAGGCTCATTTCCCCTACTTTGACACTCTGGATTTTGGGTCTATGGAATTTACAGAATCCAAGGGAAGGGCTAAAGTTTTGACATTCTCTTCTGGTTATATTCTTCCTCCACCAATTCGGTTTCTTGGGGCTAGACTGTGGCAAATCTCCATTTTTAAAAAAAATGGTTCAAAGCCTGGCTAATGCCTTCAAAATCTGATCATTTGAATCTATATCAGTGTCCATGAAGCATGTGAAGAGTTACTCATCTGTGCAAACCAGCCTCTGTACCCCTGGAAAAACATGCAGGATTACTATCCTATTTTGGTTTTTAAAAAAGCCATCCTCTAAAAGACAATATGAATTTGGGATATTTATCTTGGCTGAATCCAAGGAAGTTCAATGTTTAATGTGAGTACTATAGAGAAGAAAATAACTCATATATATGGGTGGAAATATCCCTCAGATGGAGTTTCAGAGTCCAGATGGGAAGCCCTTATGCCACCAAAGTGAGCTGGTTCCTGAGTCAGAGTTGCAAAGATACAAAGAAATTTTTAGGTATTCTGTTATGAGAGAAAGTAAACGAAACAGAAACAAGGATGAATTCAACGAGTACAAAGATAGACTTGGGTAGCAATCTTACTGACAGACAATTTAAAATGATGACAAATAATGTTGTAGATTAAATTACTGGCTCCAATTTCTTATTGCTCCCTGAATCTACTCCATCTCTACAGCTTCATGAGAGGCTTGGGGTATTTCTCTGACCCTTGGCTTTGGCTCATCCATGTGATTTTCAGTGACCAATGAAATGTGGATGGAAACAGACTTGTGTTCATTCTGAACCTAGGCCTTAGGAAGCATCACATATTGTCTCTCATCCTCTTATACTTCTGTGATTGTCATGATAAGAACATATTCTGGCTAACTAGCTCTGTTGTGAGGTGGAGCTATCCTAGCCCTGAAGTAGAGATGCTCCATCTGCCCTTCAAACTTCAAGTGAGAAATAAATGCTTACTGTTTTATGCCACTGAGATTTTGAAACTATTATGGAGCTATAGCTGACTGATAGAATGAAAAGCAAGAGAGAAAGGTCTAGGAATAACTCAAGATGTTCTGGGAGAGATGGGAGAAGCCTCAGCTCACTCCAATTTACTCTCAAAGTCTGTATTCCAAACTATTATACTATTTTGTCTCCAAAGTCTTCCATTGTGTAGCTTTATTTCACTAATGTCTCTTCATGAAGGTTATTTCTAATGTTTTACTGTTATGACCAGCACTGCAATGAATAATCTTATCTTTAAATAGTCAACTTGCTATTTCCAAAGGTGCATTCCTAGAATCAGCATTGCTCTGCCAAAGAAAATGTGCCTGCCCCCGTTTCTCCAACTTTGGAAAGATTGTTAGGTTGTCTTGTTATCATCATCATTTCATTTAACTGTAGAGTGCTTATCATATGCCAGGAAAACATGCTCGATATGTATTTTATCATTTAATCCTCACCGTAAACTATGAGTAGACACACTGTTCTGTCCATTTTATAAACAAAACTAGCCAGAGAGTAATTTGGTAACTTGACCAAGGTTATAAAAAGTAGAGGCAGGATTCAAAACCAGGCAGTTTTATTTCCTCTACATTCTCATCAGTAGATTATGACTGTACCTTCTTCATCCCTTACAATTCCTGCTTTCTAGCAAAACAGCTGCTGCTCTGAAAAATGAGTGAATGCGTTTCACTGACCAGGAAAATATGGGGGAATAAGTATTGTTACAGAAGAGGAATGAAAGAGATCCAAAACCTGGAAGGTTGAAATACTTTTTTTCTAGTAAGCATCTATAATTTCCAAAATTTGAGGATGTAAGTTTGAATTCATGTAAAAAAAGAGCAATCATTTTAACTAAGGCAGAGAGTAGTTTCTAATATTTAATGATCAATATATGTCATGTTGCTCACAAGAGGCATTAGGAGAATTTACATCTGTAAAAAAATTCATAGGAGCAGTTTAAATAAGAGGATGACAAGTGCTAACTCAGGGAGGATTGAGGTGTTTATTAGTTACAACCATATTCTTCCCCTTTACACTCAATCCACTAGATCTCACTTCTAGATCCAAGCCTTAGTTCAACCATAGAGACATCATTGCCCCCAAACACTGCCCAGCCTTCAGTTCTGTCTTTACAGTTTCAAGAACTATGAACTATGAAACCAAATGAAATAGATAAGATTAGAGATCTTAGGAGTTCAAGGACTTCCTGGGATTACATCATTCTCCCTGTTTTGGTTAGGAATATGTTATCTGAGCTCAAATAGATGGCAGTTTGTTCAGTTCAGAAAACTCACATGGGGAAAGGCCATTTCCAGCATCAGATTTGTGGCACTCTCCTTCTTCCCTAAGGTAAGTGAGTTTAAGGGTGCTTTTTCCTTCATACATACTAAAAGAAAAAAATTATTTCCTCTACTCACAACACTTCTGATACCAGATAAATGAGTTCCGCCCCCCACCGCTGCAGTGAGCAATTCTGATACTAACTACTCAAAGTGTAGACCCCACATGATCAGGGCTCAGTCCCACAAGACTGCCCCCGACTTCACCTGTGCTTCTGACTGACCAGCTATGAAATAAGAGTTCCCACAACCTCTTCTTCATGTTTGTAAAAATTATTGATGATATCAAGTTGGAAAGAATGAAAGAAAAAGGATACTTTTACACTGTGTCAATGGATGTAAATTGGAAAAGTTTGAAATATATATATACATGTGTATAAAGCAGTGTATAAGCAAATTTGAACTTTTTCCATTAGGTTAATCTATTATGTTGAGCCATATGAAACTGCCAGTATTGAAAGATTTTGACTTAAAAGTGGACTTAATGACAAGTCAAAAGAAACTATTCACATTGAAACACAAAAAAGAAAAAAGAGTGAAATGTTTTCAAATTTTCAGGAGCACCTGGATCAGAAAAGAATTGAACCAGACCAAAATTTATTTTTCATTTTGCTAGCTCCATCTACTGGTTAGATGAGGCAAGAACTTCCCTCCTATGTAGGACATAAGGGGTAGGTGGCATAATTTCAACTCCTCTATCAATTTTGCTGCCTCCTAATAGAACACTCTTCCTTTCCTGGTTCCCAATCCATATACTTCACTGTCATTTAAGGGAGTATTTTATTGTGTTTGATGTCTTCAAAGACTAATTTTCATCTAAAAATTGAGAATGTGGTCCTAAGCCATACTTTCTAGATATTTTGAAGCAGGAAATGAGATAACCATCCAAATAGGAAATTATGGTAATAACCATTTCCAGATGCAATGTTAAATAATGCATGACTTACTAAACAGGCTTTATGATAGGTAGAAATGCCAGAGATTAGGTTTCTTGGGTCCTAGGATAGCCTTTTAGAAACTAACCCTTGAAATATTAGAGATACTGGAGTTATAGAGACTGTAAAGCAATGATGTATGTCTATATTGTTCATGAAACAAGTGAAAAATCTGAAAGACTAACTCAAAAAAGTACATTCATTCCCATGTTCACTGCAGCATTATTTATAGTAACTAGGATTTGGAAACTATAACTGTCCATCAACAAATTAATGGATAAAGAAAATTCAGCATACACACATACACAGAGGAATATTATTCAGCCATAAAAAGATATGAAATCTTGCCATTTGCAACAACATGGATGGACCTTGTGGACATTATGCTAAGTGAAATAAGTCTGAAAGACAAATACCATGTGATCTCATTTCTATGAATTGGGTTGGCCAAAAAGTTTGTCTGGGTTTTTACATAAAATCTTAAAAGAAAAAAAGGGGGGCTTATAGTTACAGAGAACAGATTGGTGGTCACCAGAGGTAGGTAGTGAGGGGTGAATAGAATGGGTGAAGGAGGTCAAAAGGCACAGACTTCCAATTATAAAACATGTCATAGGGATATAATGTACAGTATGGCAACTATGAGGCTTCCCTCATATCTCAGTTGGTAAAGAACCCACCTGCAATGCAGGAGACCCCAGTTCAATTCCTGGGTTGGGAAGATCCACTGGAGAAGGGATAGGCTACCCACTCCAGTATTTTGGGGCTGCCCTTGTGGCTCAGCTGGTAAAGAATCCACCTGCAATGCAGGAGATGTGGGTTCTGGAAGATCCCCTGGAGAAGGGAAAGGCTACCCACTCCAGTATTCTGGCTTGGAGAATTCTGGCCCGGCTCGCAAAGAGTTGGACACGACTGAGCAACTTTCACTTTCATGGCAACTATAGTTAATTGTATTGTATTGCATATTTGAAAGTTGCTAAGAGAGTAAATCTTAAAAGCTCTCATCACAAGAAAAAAATTATGTGATTAATGTTAACTAGACATTGCAGTGATCATAATGCAACATATGCAAATATTGAGTCATTATATTGGACACCTGAAACTAATATAATGTTGTATGTCTATTACACCTCAATAAAAATTTGTCTTCATTGAAAATTTGGAAGAATTTTGCTCATTTAGGGAGTTTTCTTGGTAGTGGTAGTGGTTTAGTTGCTAAGTTGTGTCCGACTCTTGTGACCCTATGGACTGTAGCTCCCTAGGCTCCTCTGTCCATGGACTTTCCCAGGCAAAAATACTGGAGTGGGTTGCCATTTCTTTCTCCAGGACATCTTCCAGACCCAGAGATTGAACCTGTGCCTCCTGCATGATAGGCAGATTCTTTACTGCTGAGCCACCAGGAAAGCTGTTGTTCAGTGGCTCAGTCGTGTCCGAATCTTTGAGACCCCATGGACTGCAGCACGCCAGGCTTCCCTGTCCTTCACCATCTCCCAGAGCTTGCTCAAACCCATGTCCATTGAGTTGGTGATGCCAT